TGTATACATATTTCATAATTCTGTTTCATCCTACTATTCTGAGGTGATAATTTCGAAGTTTTAGAACCAGTATATTGAAGTACCTACCTTACTTTTTCCAATGTTTTAACTGAAATTACATTTGTAAAATTATATTTCACTTGTTATTTTCATTTATAATATAATAAAATGCGATTTTTTTTGTCTGCTTTAACCTAACTTTTAGAATCATTTCACTATTTCCTTCCACAAAACATAAAACAAATTAATTCATGAAATTGTCAATTGTTGACACATACGGGCTTTGTGTTTGCAACGTTGCCAAACACTTTAATATAAAATCACTGTCTAATAATATCTAAGTTGGTGTTAGAATATTGTTTTGTTCGATAAAGTGTAGCTCGAAAATATACACATTCTGTTTTCATTTGTCTCATTTTATGTATAATTTTTTCGCCAAGCAACCCGCGATGTCTCCAAGTCGCACAGGTTAGGTAAATTAGTTAATATTTGTTTAGTTTTTCTTATTTTATGTATATTTTTTGCGAAGCAACCCACGATGTCTCCAGGCCGCACAGGTTAGGTAAATTAGTTAATATTTGTTTAATTTTTCTTATTTTATGTATATTTCTTTTGGGAAGAAATCCAAGATATCTCCAAGTCGCACAGGTTAGGTAAATTAGAGAAAATCTATTTAATTTTTCTAATTTTATGTATATTTTTTTGGAAAGCAACCCATGGTGATTCCAGGCCGCACAGGGGAGATAAATTAGTTAATATTTGTTTAATTTTTCTTATTTTATGTATATTTTTTTGGGAAGCAACCCAAGATGTCTCCAGGCCGCACAGGTTAGGTAAATTAGTTAAAATTTGTTTAATTTTTCTTATTTCTTGTATATTTTTTTGGGAAGCAACCCGTGGTGATTCCAGGCCGCACAGGTTAGATAAATTAGTTAATATTTGTTTAATTTTTCTTATTTTTGTATATTGTTTTGCAAAGCAACCCGTGGAGATTCCAGGCCGCACGAGAAATGCTTCGTCTTCTTGTTTTTTATAATCTCGTAATTTATACATTTTAAATAATCCTGAAACTGACAATTTCATTAACAACTTGGCAACATTGTAATTTTTAAGACCGAATCTGTCATCTAGAGTAAATGTTTTGTTGATATAACCTGTAAAATTGAGGTTTTTAATTAGATTTTTCTCAATAAATACTTGTTTCTTACAGGATTTTTTTGCAAAATTAGCACCTGAGGATCCCTCGACAGTCCCTTTTTGTTTATTTAATCAAGGACTGCTCGTATCATCTACTCTACCGTTGAATTTCAAAACACTTGCGCCATATTTCGTGATCTTTTGACCTTGGTTTACTCTTATCGATATCTATTTTTGTTATTGATCTGAATAGGCGGCGGGATAAACATTATAATATAGGTAAAAAAATTATTTCACGCAACCAGATTTCAGGTCTTTTGCGACTTTGAATTGAGATGTGTCTCAAATTTAACGTTTTCTCGTCATTATCTGGATATTATCTGACGATTTAGATCATGAATAATAAAAATAATAGGTTCCAACAACGAGCTTGAAGCCATACATAAACCGGTCCACGATTTATTGTTGACAATCTGTTACCTATGCTGAAACACATTTTAAATAGACATGGGTAACGCACTAAAATTCTTTGCGTTGATACACTAACTCCGGCGCACTCTATTGCGTTAACGCAATTGCGTTATTGCGTCACACCACTGACCACTGCCTGCGCCGAATGAAGTCGACGCACCTCGGTGTATCGCATGATACCGGTGTTATTCAGCGCCGGCTATCCCTTTATAAGGGTCAAACCGTGTTCAAGGCAAAAACGCAATTGGGAATTTAACTAAATTTTTTTTTTATTATATGTTTAAAAATAAACGAAAATATAACAGTGTAATGCACTCATTTTTTTATTTCATTGTGTTCGGATTTTACAAAAAATACAAAAATTCCAATTTATATAAAAAGGATATAACTTTTGTATACTAGTAGCCAATCAAATTGGGAAGAACTAAAAATTGACAGTGTACAAGATTAAAATTCATAAAATTCGACCTACAATCCTACAAATGATGTGACATGTTGCAAAGAACATAATTACTTGATAGATTTTGGGTAATCTGCATTAAATCTAAACAAAATGGATTTCCAACAATTAATAATTTATTAAAAGATAATAATTCTGTAAATAACCCTCAAGAAATAGTTAATATGTTTGCCGAATTCTTTCAGTCAGTTTATACCACCCCATCAAATAGTACAAATATATCTCCTGCCAATAGGGATGAACTACTCGATATTTCAATTTTTACATTATCAGAGGAAGACATATCTAAATTTCTTAAAAAACTAAAACCACGAATGAATCAAGGACCAGATCAAGTACCTAGCTTCATCATTAGAGACTGTTCTGAGGTATTAAAAAAACCCCTATCATACATCTTTAACTTATCTCTAAAACATTGCTCTTACTCTACTAGGTGGAAAATCTCTAAGGTCACACCTATCTTTAAAAAGGAAAATCCAAATCTTGTTGATAATTACAGGCCAATCTGTCAAGTGTCAGGATTTTCGAAAGTCTTTGAGATGTCTGTATATGATAAGATTTTTCCACAAGTAAAATTTTCAATTAATCTTTCCCAACATGGTTTCTTTAGTTCGCGCAGTACCATCACTAATCTAACTTGCTTCACTAATTTTACTACTTCTGCATTAGACCATCATCAGCAAGTGGATACAGTTTACACAGATTTCTCAAAGGCTTTTGACCGCCTAGACCACTTAATATTGGCAAAAAAATTATTAAATCTAGGGTTTGACAGACAACTCGTTGATTTTATTTCTTCATACCTCAAGGGAAGACTGCAATACGTTGAGTTGAATGGCTTTAAATCTTTTTTATTCGAAGCTACAAGTGGGGCTCCACAGGGAAGTAATCTTGCTCCCCTGCTATTTTCGCTATTTATCAACGATATTGTTTCTGTTCTCAAATGTAATACACTTTTATTTGCCGATGATCTAAAGATATTTAAAATCATTACTTGCAATGACGATTGCCATCAGATGCAAGATGATTTATTTGCTCTTGATCAATGGTGCAATGAAAACAGACTACCTCTTAATGTAAAAAAATGTAAGGTTGTGTCATACTCCTTAAAGCATGATTTTTTTATCTATAACTATCAAATTCAATCTATGTCACTTGCTCGCGTCTCAAATTTCAAAGATCTAGGGATTACATTTGATTCCAAAATGTCATTCAACTCACATATTGCAGCCATTTCTGCTTCTGCCACAAAACTATTGGGATTCATATATCGCTCCTGCAATAAGTTTAAAAATGCTTCTACAACTAAACTACTATACTTCCATTACATAAAAAGCAAATTAGAGTATGGATGCCTAATCTGGAATCCTTATTATGAGGCTCATATTCAACATTTAGAAAAAGTTCAGCGTAAATTTGTCAAATATATGGCTTTTAAAATGGATGGAGTGTATCCTACCCGTGGATTCGATCACACTCGGTTACTTCAAAGGTTCAACTTGCCAACTTGCAAGGATAGACGAGTTTATATATCTCTAATTTTTTTGTACAAGTTGGTTAATGGTATGATTGATTGTTCTGATTTATTATACCAACTAAATTTTTATGTTCCCTTAAATACCAGATCCAAAAATCTGTTCTACCTACCCTCAGTAAGTACTAATATCATGCTAAAATCGCCTTTACATATCATGTGCAGGGAACTAAACAAAATTAGTCCACATATTGATATATTCAATCAAACTTTATGTAGTTTTAGTAAGTCAGTGAAAAATATCTTATTTAATCAATAATAAACTTGGCGGGCTGTATCCTATCAACTGTATCCTATCAAATGTTCATTTATTTGTAAACTAATATTTTTTTTAATTACTTTGTATATTTTCTTACTATTCTTATCTGAATTGTCTTATTAATGGATGTAATTCTGTTAGACAATAAAGCTTATTATTATTATTATTATTACGAGTTGCATCAATTACGTAAATTAAAATTCTCAACTCGTCACGGAAAACGGAATCAGTGCCTGGCGCATGGCGCACCAACAACTCGCGATCCTTTCGACTCAGTATCGAAAATTGCGTTGCGCTGATACAGTAACAGCTGGTGTATCAACGCTCGTAACGCATACAACTGCGTTAACGCAATAACGCAACGCATCGCTGCGTTACCCATGTCTAATTTTAAATAAATTCAACAGACGCACTAGTTATTACAATAATAAACCAGAAAATAAAATAAATAATAGAGAACAAATACTATGAAGACAAAACTCGATTGACAAATACACATCAGAGTTGTCAGAGACGATAGGTATAAATAATATAATAATTACAATCACAAAATCTAAAGCAAAATCCACGTGTTTGCTTTAAATTTCACGAAATACCTACTTTTTGTTTGACTTAAATAAAAAGGAAGATCAAGAAGAATGCTTACGATGTCATTTGAGGGAAGTACCTACATTAAATTTATACAATGTTTTCTAGTGTTATCACAACAGGAAAATTATATTAGGTACTTTCTTATGGAAGTTAGTTGTTATTGTTTTGTTAAAAATTGGATATCATTTTGTTAGTTAAAACTAAATTGTAATTTCTAAAAGTGAATCCTTATAAATATGTGAATAGCATATCTTCAGATTTCTATATTATTATTCCCTGGACATGCTATTTAAGTTAGAAATGTTTCTCTATTATTTGATAAAGTCTGGTCAAATATTCATTTACCTACTGCGTAATTACACAGAAAAATATCAACCATCTTCAAGTATACATAATTATTTTGATGAAACCGGCCGTTTCGAAAAAAATTCGCCCCGCCTATGTGTAGCCGACTTATTGAACCACGTTGAACTTTGATTGTTGAAGAAATAGCGAATGACCATTTGAAAATAGCGACAGATGGCGCCGTGCAGTTGCTTTGCTGAATTTACTACAAGTTACCTACGTTTTCAATTCCAATCCAAATATTAACATTTAATTATTAGTTAATTAGTTATTCAACTCAACATCTTGTTACCAAACAAAGTTAATATATTCAGTTACGGTTAAAAATCATTATTCACGGTGTGTGTGTGTCATCTAACCCTACTTTTGTTTCAACCTTGTGTTTTGTTGGTTTGGTGTTTGGTTTTGGTTTTATTGTTTGGAGAAGAATAAGATAAATACTGTGAAGTTAGCAACGTTTGTAGGTTAATACAAAAGTTACGTGTAAATGTAAAAGCAATAAAAAACCTAGGTGATTGAAAAAAAAATTGAACTATTAGTCGTTGAGATGTCGTCCGGTAAAAGTCATTTCGGCCACCATGGGGGTTTCAATTGGGGGCTATATTTTTTGGGAATTGTTATTGTTGCTGTATCTTTTTGCGTTTTGTGTGAAATGTTACGGACCAAACGAAAAAGGGGAGGCAGGAGATTACTCAGTGACAGTAAGTTTTAAAGTTTTGCTTATCATTATCATATTTTGTACAAGGGCGACTCCAAGACGAATTTTTTTTGGGGGGGGAGTATTGCCTTGAGATCAGTGGTTCTCAAACTTTTTTGGTGGCGGAACCTTTTTGAAAAGCGAAATATTGGACGGAGTCCTAAACACATTTCTAAAAAAAAGCCCCTATGATCCCCCCCTGGAGCCTCCCTTGATTTCGTATTGGTATTTGGTACACAGAAAAAAAGATGTACTATATTCAAGATGAATGGTCTTATTTCAATGCTTTGTTGTGTTTGTATATCCTTCATTTATCTCGCATTTATATTCAAAATACCTTGTTCTTAAATCCAATACAACTAAATTTGTTACAATAATAATATGAACTGTTCCAAGAAATGTTAATATTGGCTTTGACATAAATATATTGATTTTGGTTGAATTATAGGATAGTTTCATTGAAGAAATTAATAATCTTGAAATAAGAACAGACTGTTCTTGCTTTTTAATAGGGTTCTCACTGGTACCTATCCACCGAAAAACATTTTTCAAAATTGGTTTTAGTTAATGTACCAAATTTCAAAGTCCTCTAAGGTGTCCCACCTATAATTAAAAAAAAATAATTTTATAACTACAAAACCTAAATGGAACATAACAGTTTGTCCTGCTAAGAGGTCGTATCTACAAAATGAATTTTTTTTTGGTAAATGTGGGTAGGTAGATAATTACGTCCTTATAGACTTCGCAAATAAGTTTTGCATATTTTACTAACCTTTTCTTATAATTATAGTAAATATTTTCTAATGCAAGTAGGCCTTTATTATTTTGTGTCATAATAAAATAAAATGTAAGCTTATTAAATTTGTAAGAATCTTGAAATCGTAATTTTCGTAGATACGACCTCTTGTCTTAGCAAGGCAGAAGTCGTCTTTCCAAAAAGTCGTCATCTAGCATCATACATTTTTTTTACCTCTATTCTAGTTTGTTTCGTGTTCTTATGATTATAAAGTTACTTATATATAACAATAACAAGAAGTGAACTAAAATATACTTACATTTAAATATTGGTATCAGGTCGCTGAGGCCACATCCATCTAACAAATCTTCCATTTCAATTTAATTTATTCATACACTTATTAATTGAATCACAAAGAATTTCTGACAAAAAGTAGAACGCAACCCTAACGATACGATGCAAACTTGTTACAAAATGGATAGATTCTCTATAAATGTGTTGTGTCTCTGACTTTCGAATAATAACTATCATATCTCAACATGTACCAGTCATATATCTACCTATCAGTGCAGTGTTTGGCATTTTAAAATAAGTTACACTGTGCAATGAATTTGTACTTGCTAATCTTTTGTGAAGTACATAGATTTTTAATTCGAATTGTTTAATTCTTGTTCTGAAATTTAAATGCTTTGAATCGAATCCTTTTATAACATTGAATCAAGAACGCGATAGTCGGTTTTAAGAGCATATCATACAATAAACGTAAGAGCTTTCTTGGATTAATTAACAATTCTAGACTCGAATGAAATAATTTATTCTCAGATTAATTATTTTAAATCTTAAAATACAAGATTATGCCTACACTTCACTCAACATTTAATTTCTTATTGCATCGAGAAATATTATTTGAAGCAAACTCTGCTTTATTTCAAACAAATGTAATCTTCCAAGTGTAAAGCTTTTCTTGAATGTAGATAATTTGTTTCTGTGTACTCTTAAGTTTAGTAATGGTAGTAATGCGTAATGCGCATGTTCGCACCATTCTGAACTGACGTTTAGAATTTGAATTTACACCTACCTCGTTGCTAGATTTCCGTTTTTGTTTTGCAGTTATTACCTCCTTCCGTATGTTGACGATATTTAAAATGTTTAATGTATATAATACCAAAATTATGCTATAAAACGATAATTATCGAATGTCTGGCAACACTGAATGGAACGCACTAGACCACAGATATCAGGCTGTCGCATGTCCGTGCCATGTATTAAAATAGACAAAGGCTACCTAACCTACACTTACAGGGGTTCCCAAACTTTTCCGAATCGCTGCGTTTTTTTTTTCATCTAAAATTTTTCCATGACGTCCTACCCTAAGTAAAAATATGACTAATCGTAAATAAAAATTAAAATAAATAAAATTCGTGTATATTCATTATTTTTTACTTTATTAATATTAAATACAAAATTAATGTGATTGATCGTTGATTATACTCCGTAATATTATGTTGTGTTCGTCGACTAAATTGTTTTATTGGACAAAGTGACTTTTAAAAGCAGCTTTCCAGCAGATTCACCAACCATAGGTTTGTTCCAACAACGATCCGAAACCAGTCATTGGCACCAATCCTGGTGGTAATGACTGGTTTCTGATCATTGTTGGAACAGTTCTGATGATGTTCCCCATATGTGTAGCAGCCGATAGAGTAGGTTCTTCTGCGATGGTATGAAGCTTCTATTTCGCGTTTCTATGTATAAGCCACCTTGTCTGATGCTAGCAAAGCATTGTTTGGTATTGATAGTCTTAAAAAATCTTTTTGTAGCTTCACTTATATGCTCTCTGTAAGATTTAGAACTGTCAAAATACATTGCACCTCGACGTGTCTAGCCGTCGCTGCCGCCACTGCAAAAGAGAGGAAGTGACTCATTTCTCTCTATTCTCTCTCTTCACGGTGGCCACGGTCTAGCGCGATCTAGAAGGAGCAGATTTGCCGGCTGGTATTCACAAGAATATTCTAAGGCGCCTTTACTTTTATACAGGGTCAAGTGAAAACAAATAAAAAATCTAGATGTTTCTATTTTGTTTTTTTTTGTTTAGTAAGGGAACATTATTATGAAGCTTTTACAATACTGTTTGGGAATCACTGCACTGCGCTAGCAGATAAATTCACACCGCTCATTCGAATAAAACAGCATCAAGGTGTGTGTTATTCATGTTTAAAAAAAACCTTTGGTATAAATGTTTCTATTACAACGGCATTTTTTTCAGTTCAGTTCATAAATCGTGTATTGAAATAAGTATAGCGGCAGTAACAGTTTAGAGCGGGTACTTTTCGTTTTGTGTTTGTTGCGTATTTTTTGTCGTTAGGATGACTACTATGAGCTGGGGATTGAATACTCTTTATGTTGTTATTCTGATAGTGATATTTATTGTGCTTTGTGAGGTTTCGCGTAGGCATAGAACACGAAGGCGATATATTAGTAAGTTTTAAATAATATTATTTTAAATATTTTCAAACATTTTGTTATTGAAAATGAAAATAAATGCAAATAATTTTATAATTAGGTATTTAACTATAAAGGCACAAAAAGTGTTTATAAAAATACTTAGATATTTCTATATTGCTAAGCAAAATATATACAGCGCAATGACGTACCCAAAAATAGATATTAACACGTATGAAAATAATATAATTATTAAAATATAATTAATATTTTTGTTATTTATTTTAAAATAATGTGTTTTTATGAAATGTAACTGGGTGTTCACGCACAAATAAACCAATGGAAAAACCCCCCTGCATAAACCATCTCCACTCAAATTAGCAGCTGTCTCCTTCTTTCTAATACGGCAGCCGATGCGACAGCTCTGTCTACGTAATAATAAACACAATCTGAGCGATGGCAATAAAAAAGGACTTAATTATGAATTAATGGTATAGTCTAGTAGTTTTTCGTCGTTGGTTAAGGGCTACGAAGCCAAGTTATAGTAATATAGTCCCAGTGCCTTCACACAATTGAGGTTCATATAGAACAAGTATATCGTGAGAATATTTACGATATTTTCGTTTCTTCATAATCGTGCCACTGGTTGAAGACATTTTCTTTCTTATTAATACTGTTGAAAAATCCGCCCATCATCAACGATACAAGAGCAAAAAATCACAAAACTATCAAAGACAATAAACAAGAAGTAATATAACGCTAACTATAACTACATGAGCTATCATCATCAAAATCATTTTATTTACAATATGTACATACAGTTTCTAATAACAATTCAAATATATATAAATTTGCAGCAGGATTTCTTGAAACTCGTCAGGAAGTGTTCCATATGCTGCTATGGCCCCAAACGAGGCCAGATACTCAAACGTAATTAGTTGATATTCTGGGTTTACGCGACCCCTCCTTGCTAATTTTAGCATTATAGGTCAATATTGGTGCTTAACTAGATCGATAATTGAAGAGTATTAGGGGTTTGTGTGATTTTACTTATGTCTGTCGTCCCTGAAAAACCGAATGAAAAAACAGGGTTGTCTTCATGTGTGTGGTTGTTACTAGTTAGTTTGTGTATATAAATTGACCAAATCACAAGACTACACAATTCAGCCTCCGTCCAGCACAAGAATCATGAGAAACCACGAATTCCTGCACTGGGCGATGACGTCACCGTGCAGTCTTCCGTCCGACCAGAGTTGATAGCAAGTCGTCGTTTATGATTGGCTATTTAGTGGGTCCGTCGCTGCTAAAAGGATATATGTCAATTTTTTCGTTTAGCCGTGGTTGTACATAATGTGTGCCCCTTGTGGTCACAAATGCCCCGACTCGTACGAATTTCCCGGAAATTCGAAGAAAGTCCGAGAAAAAATGCTTCCGCCGGGAGATTTATGCCCACAAAAGCATTTTACAATATCTTTGTATTGACTTTACTGAATTTACTGTCTAAAGTATGTGTGTTTAATTCTTAAGATTGAAATTACTGTCGATGTTAGCCATGAACGCATTATACGTTTCAATTATTTGTTGTCCAGTTATGCAGTTATAACTACATGAACTAATTTATATCACTCTTTAGGGGCCATCCATAAATTACGTCACATCTTAAGGGGGGGGGTGTCGACGAAGTGTGACATTGTGTGGAAGGGATCCTAAATTTCGTGACGTCTCCTTTCAAAATTTAATATATCTAAGTATTACAACACGAAATTTGAACTATTAACGAAAAACCAGCTATGAAGGGGGGTTAAAAATCATGAAATTCATGTGAC